AAAACTGCAAGTTTAACTTGCAGTTATCAGCGTAATAAATATATCGGGCCAATAAAAAAAACCCTGTTATGTAATATTTTATTCAATACGTAGTCAATAAATCAGTTACAACCATGTTTTGTTGCTGTCGGGACTATTTGCAACAAATGTTTGTTCCTGTGATGTACCAGTGTTCCCCTTGTCCGGATATTTTCCGGAAAGATGATTGATTTGCTCGGCTCTGAAACAACAATGTGGGGAATTAATTTTCTGGCATTGCCTAAAATCATTTGTCGCTTCAGCAATTGAACTACTAATTGTTTTCCTCAAATGTCAATTTTGCTTTATAAATAATGCTTTTTCAAGAAATTTCAGGAAACATTGCACTCCCCATAAAAAACATTAACAATAATTGGTAACCCAATAATTGGTAATGTCATTCCAGTAATTGTAATTTTCGATATATAAAATATAATAAATATATTTCGTACTTAGAAAAGTATCTGATAATTCAGCACCCTCAATTTCTTGGCATTTAGAAGCCGCCTTCATTAACTTTATAATTATCTGCCTCGAATGTATGTATGCTCGCACAAACTGTATTCATTTATCTATTTATTATCTAGAAGAGTCAAACTTATTTGTTAGTTACCTGGCTTCAGATTTAAAGTTGGTACAGCATTCCATGTTAAATTCGTGCATCTACTATCAAATACTGAATACTAAGCTTTAAGATGAGCTGCACATTTCCACTTGTTTTCATCACTATCTGGAGGACCCGGTAGAAAGTCAAAATTTTAACAGCTTTTAACAAAGTTTGTAAGGAAATGTGAAAAATGTAGCCATATTGGGTTCACAAACGGGCCACTGAACACTTTTTCCTCCGGGCGTTAAAGTTCCGACATAAAATCCGCCATGCCGTGTTCTGAAAACGTCTCTAAGCAGGATCTCATCATGTAGTCAAATGATAATGCAGTTTTAGAGAAGAATTTTAGAATTGTTTAACAAAACGATAATGTAAACACTCACAGTACCTCGGAAATTCGCAAACTGAAGAAGAAGTACAGTGTTGTCGCCTCACCCAATGACAAATTACTCAAATTAATTTCTTAACCGAATATCAGTTTTACAACTATGATTAAACGAAAAAATACACAACAATAATCCGGGTATCAAAATCTCGAAAAAATTTCGCTATATAATAAAATCCCCGTTCACTGATTTTCTTTCAAATTTTGTTTATACCGGTTTGCCTCTCTATTCATTCTCTAATAATCTCGTAAGTTGACCTAGAACCGGCTACGTTGCATTATGGGTGCGCCACATATTTACCAAATAGCAAACTAACCGCTAACTGC